CAGTCCTCATCCTGAGACTCCTGAAGACCCCCAGTCATCAGTCATCTTATTAGCATACAGGACAGTCTTGTCTCATTCCTGGTTCTGGGATTTTAGGAATCTTGTTAAATGTTAGGAATGTGGGCAGAGACCATGTGTATATAAAGGATTTGACTTTAAAAAGTATTAAAAAACCTTTTTTTAAAATAAAAAGTTCACATACTTTTTTTTTTTTTTTTTTTTTTTTTTTTTTTTGTGGAACCAGGGATTGAACTCAGGCCCTTACCTGTTCCACTGAGCCATCTCCCTGGCCCCTACACATACTTTTAATAAAAAAAAAAAAAAAAAAAATACCTGTTATAATTTCAGTTTAAAAGAAAAACTTTAGTGAATAAAATACTTAGGATATTTTATTAACCTAAATCGAGAGTTGATAGAAAATTTTTAATAGTATGGCTTATCAAGTATGCCAACAGTAGGGGGGAGGGAGATAGTTCAGTAGAATAAGCACTTGCCTGGCAAGCAGAAGGGTCTGAGTTCAATCCCCGGTTCTGCCAAAAAATAAATAAATAAAAAACAACAACAACAAAATGCCAACAGCTTAACAGTGTTTCAAAAACACTTTATTTACTTTGCCCTAACTTTATTATTTAGGACTTCATTGGGAGTGAGGTAGAAATAACACTTGTATCTGCATCTTTATTCATGGATCTTAAGGTATCTACTTTTGTAGATTGTTGTAAAGGTATTTATGTTGTCTGAAGAGTTGCAAATGTTGTCCTAGTTCCTTTTTATTTTTAGTCGTAAATTCTCAGAAGAGGTTAAGAGTATGGACAGACTTTGTACATAAAAGAGTTAATACTTTGTTGTGTAATGTGCATGATGGTTTGTTTTTTTCACCCTCTTTGTTTTTGCTTGCTAGGTTGTGGTAATCCATATTGACAAGGGCCTGAATTATCATGAATTGAGTGTATATGTAGCTTTAAAGCTCCTAAATTAATTTTGATAACCTTCCTCTTTTTCTGCCTCAGGAAATTTTAAGCTGTACTCACTGGAGATTTTGACTGAAATCCATGAGTAATGGTTTCATTCTAATTCTCTAGTGTCCGGAGGTGGTTTCTCTTTATAAAATAGGTCACTTAGAAATCCTAATGTAATACTAACCAACCTTCAGCTTTAATATTTCCTTAGATCTAGGAAGTGAACATCAAGTTACATATGTAAAGTAGTGAAAATGCAAGGAAACTTTTATTAGCAATACTTCCAGAAAGTCACCAGATGGAATGAGATGCAGTGATAAATATTTGATGAGGTATTATTTGAGAATTGGTATTTTTTTTCCTGTAAAATGAGAGCTGATTCTTCTCACATTCCATAGATAAGAACATGAATATAAAAGAAAATTTCAGAAATTCTATCTACCAGTCAACTTTGGATAGGAGTTAAAACAAGTGGTTTTTGTTTGAGTTGGTGCCTTCTTTTTTGTTTATTCTTGAGTCAGAATCCCCTGTTGGCCTCAAAATCTTGATTCTCTTGCCCCAGACTCCTAGTGCCTGAGATTGCAGGTGTGCACTACCATGGCCTGCTATTCTTAGAGTTGACTCTTACCATCTTGGAAGTGTGATTTTAATCAGGAAAAAGTAGTGTCAGATTATTATTTGGTAGGATACATAAACACTCTGAAGTCTGTTATTTATCTTTTCCCTTTTTTTTCCTTTGGTACTTTTGCATAAAGCAAAATGACAGTTTTTTTGTTTGTTTTGCAACAGGGTTTCACTATGTAGTTTGTCCTTGAACTCACTGTGTTGCCTAGTTTGTGCTCAAACTCACAGCAATCCTCTCTTAGCCTCCAGAGTCTGCCAGGATTATAGGTGTGTACCATCCCATCTGGCTCAAAATGGCACTTTTTAACCAGAGGCATTTGTAACCTCAGTCATTCTTCTAGTTGTATATAGAAATAAACTTCCGGGGGGAAGTTTCTCAAACAAACAGAACTGGTTATAAAATTACACAAAACTCAAATAGTAGTGAAGATTAATTTACCATTTTGTGAATAACAAGGTGACAAAAATTATTTTAGTTCCAATGTTTGACTTTATGTGGCATAGAACTGAAGGTTACTTAAGGCTTTTATAAAAAATACAGTACATTTGTTTTCCCATATAAAGTAACATCATATATGGCATGTAATATACTGAGTTAATTCCTTTTTCTTGTAATATTGCATGGAAGATTTTAATCCTTAGAAAACTTAAGTTTCCTTTTTTTTTTTTTTTTGTGGCCAACTCAGCCCAGGTGGGGCTGGAGCAGCTTGTGGTGCTGGGGATTGAACCACAGTCCCTGCACTTTGCCTAAACAAGCACTTTAGACTGCTGAGCTATCTCACCGGCCCAGAAAATTCAGTTTCTGTTTCAAGGACCAACTTTTAACCTGGAAGATCACTAGTGGCCTACTTGGGTGGGAGAAGCAGATGGCTCTTACGAAAGTTTTATGCATGCTTTAGTTCAAAGTGTGCTTTTCACAATGACCTGACGCTTAGACATAGGATAAAGTTTCTCTATGAGCGGAGTCATCACTTAAGAGAACTAGCCCTTGCCTTTACGTGCAGCAGGTTGTAAGATGCTTCCACTATTGTAAGCAGCATCTTTCTTCATTACTTGATGAAGATGGCTGCGTGGGTGTTTAATTTGGGGTTTGTCACTTTTTTCTTTGCCATTTCTTAGCTTTCTCTTCCATTTCATGGCTTTCATTTTTCAAGTAGGTTATATTTTATGTTTGTCTTTAAAAACATGATCCAGATATGAAACGTTCATTTCCCCCAAAGAATACTTATTTTGCATAGAGTATTGTGGGATCCACTGATGTATATGGTAAGAGCCTTCCTAGCTACCAGTAACACCTTATTAATAGGGTAAACAATACCTGCACAGGCAACTACAAACTGTAACACCAGCTAGTCTATGAGTGTTAGATGTTTCGTGAAGTTTTGTAGGTTTGCTGTGTCACTGTCAATGAAAGTGGAACATTAGGCTGAGTCCTTGACCACTCAGCTATGCTCTCGGCCCTTGAAAGAGGTCCCTAGAATAGGTAGGATTTGTACAGTCAGGATGTTTCAGTCATCTTTTCATCACTGTGAAAGACAGCTTAAAGAAAGGTTTATTTTGGCTTTAACAGTTTCAGAGGATTTAGTTTATGGTAAACTGGTTCCGTGCGTGGAGTCTGAGGTGAGGCTGAAAGTAATGGGAGGGTGTGGTGGAGCAAAGCTGCTCATATCATGGCAACCAGGAAGCAGAGATAAAGGAGCCATGGACCAGATGTAGCCCTCCCAGCCTGCCCTCAACTAGGTTTCACCTCCTGCATTTTTTAACCTCTTCATAAAATTATAATCTTATCAGTAGATTAATCTAGTGAAAGAGCCTTCATAATTAATTACTTCTCTAGGCCATCTCTGAACACTGCTGCCTTGAGGATCAAGTGCTCAATACAGGAATCTTTGGGAGACACTTCATATGTAGATCATAATAGGGTTGGGAAACTCAGTGGGACCATCATTCTGAGCAAAGAGAAGAACTAAGTTGTAATTAGTAGAGAAAGTGATGTATTTAGGAACAAATCTGGCACATTGGGGTGTATGTGTTGGAAAAATATTACTTTAAATTGGGTTTTGAATGCCCAGATAAGGAGTGTAAGCTTTAGTTGTTAGTAATTTCAGAACCACTGAAGAAAACATAATTTGAGCAGAGGAATGAAGAAAGGCAACTGATGATTTGTGTTTTTGGTTGGTGTCACTGAGAAAAGGGAAATAAAAAAAAAAATACTAGAATTTTGCTACTAATTGGCACTTTGACAGCATGGGCCTTGGAGCATCTTTAGGACAATAGGTGAATATTTGGATGTCATTTTATAATTGAAACCTTTGGAAATATTGCCTCTTGTAATCTCACTTTAAAAAAAATTGTTGGTGCACAAAGAAAAGATCTGTTCAGGTGCATGTCATCATACTGTTGATAAAAGATTATCTCATTTTAACACACTATGGTTTTCTGAATGTCACTTTCATAACCTGAGGAAGAAAAGGAGTTGAAGAAATGAATTCAGTAATATTTGGGGAAAGGGGAATTTGGAGGGCATTTCGGAAGTCAAAATGAAAAAGCACAGAAGGAAAAACCTAAACATAGACTCCTGGAGAATGCTGACATTTAAGGAGTGGGAAGAAAGCCTGGCATGAGTTTACATTTGAGACAAAAGGAATTACATATAAAAGTGTAAACTGTGTTTGATTTCCAAGAGAACACTGTAATGAAAGAATTATAAGGCTTAATATTGGTGATGTTTTCCACTTGGTTATTTTTAATTCTTGGCGTTTTGTTTTCCAGTATGCTAGATAAGTGCTCTACCAATGAGCTACATCCCTGCCCTAAATTTAATGATTATGAAATTATAAAGGACATGTTCTTTTGAGTGTTAAAACCTATATGAAAGTCTATATCACTATAAATTTGTCCTGAAGATAATTTAGTAATTTTTTGACAAAACTGTAGTGGAAATTACAACCAAAAATAGGTGAGCTATTTCTTCCTGGCATTGGGGATTATATCCAGGACCTCTGCACTTGAGCTACAGCTGCCAGCCATTTTTTTATTTTATTTTTTAAATTTTATCTATCTGTCTGTCTGTCTGTCTGTCTGTCTGTCTGTCTATCTATCTTATTTATTTATGAGAGACAAGGTCTCACCAAATTGCCCAGGCTGAGCTTGGAGTTCTACCTCAGCCTCCCAGTGCTGGAATCACAGGTGTGTACAACCAGGCCAACCTAATGGTGTGACTTTTAAGACAGATTTAATATAAGATCTGACTTTAACAAAACTTACTGCCATTCAAGCCCAAGTTTTGCTGAGGCTTAATGTTCTTAACTGTGAAAATATAATTAAACCCAGAAAGATTTATGTATTAGTCTAAAACATGCTGAAAAATACTTCATTTATATGACCTTTTCTGTTTGGTTTTTTGTTTTTTAGGTATATTTGCATCCAGTATTGTTCTGATCTTGTCACAGCGATCACTTTTCAAGTTTTACATGTACAGCTCAGCCTTCCTATTAGCTGCGACTTCAGTGTTGGTGAACTATTACGCTGCTTTGCACATTGATTTCTATGGTGCCTACAACACTTCGGCCTTTGGAATTGAGCTGCTTCCTCAGAAAGGGCCCTCGCTATGGATGGCACTCATTGTTCTACAGCTAACGTTTGGAATTGGATACATCACACTGCTCCAGATTCATTCCATCTATTCACAGTTAATTGTTTTGGATCTTTTGGTTCCTATAATAGGCTTAATCACAGAGCTACCATTACACATCAGGGAGACATTAGTTTTTACCTCTTCCTTGATTCTCATATTAAATACAATACTTGTCTTGGCAGTGAAACTTAGGTGGTTTTATTATTCCACACGCTATGTTTATCTTTTAGTGAGGCACATGTATCGAATTTATGGATTACAGTTATTGATGGAGGACACATGGAAGAGGATTCGTTTTCCAGATATACTTCGAGTCTTCTGGCTAACAAGAATTACAGCGCAAGCTACAGTGCTAATGTATATTCTAAGGATGGCAAATGAAACTGAGTCCTTCCTTATTTCTTGGGATGATTTCTGGGACATCATTTGCAATCTTATAATTAGTGGATGTGATTCTACACTGACTGTACTGGGCATGAGTGCTGTAATTTCCTCAGTAGCCCATTATTTGGGGCTTGGAATATTGGCCTTTATTGGGTCAACTGAAGAAGATGACAGGCGGCTTGGCTTTGTAGCACCTGTTTTATTTTTTATTTTGGCTCTTCAGACTGGCTTAAGTGGGCTAAGGCCAGAAGAGAGACTTATTCGCTTAAGTAGAAATATGTGCCTTTTGTTAACTGCCGTCCTGCATTTCATCCATGGGATGACAGACCCTGTGTTAATGTCTCTCAGTGCCTCCCATGTTTCATCTTTTCGTAGACATTTTCCTGTGCTTTTTGTCTCTGCTTGCCTGTTCATTCTTCCTGTTTTACTTAGCTATGTTCTTTGGCATCACTATGCACTAAATACATGGCTGTTTGCAGTTACTGCCTTCTGTGTGGAACTCTGCTTAAAAGTAATTGTTTCCCTCACTGTTTATACACTATTCATGATTGATGGCTACTATAATGTCCTCTGGGAAAAGCTTGATGATTATGTCTACTATGTCCGTTCAACCGGCAATATTATTGAATTCATATTTGGAGTGGTCATGTTTGGAAATGGAGCTTATACTATGATGTTTGAGTCAGGAAGTAAAATTCGGGCTTGTATGATGTTCCTACATGCATATTTTAACATCTATCTACAAGCAAAAAATGGCTGGAAGACATTCATGAATCGTAGAACTGCTGTTAAGAAAATCAATTCACTCCCTGAAGTAAAAGGGAGCCGCCTGCAAGAAATAGATGATGTATGTGCAATCTGCTATCATGAGTTTACAACATCTGCTCGTATTACACCATGTAATCATTATTTCCACGCACTTTGTCTTCGGAAATGGCTATACATTCAAGATACTTGTCCAATGTGCCATCAGAAAGTTTATATTGAAGATGATGTTAAGAACGATTCCAATGTATCTAACAACAATGGATTTATTGCACCTAATGAAAATGAAAATGAAAATCCAGAGGAAGTAAGAGAAGATGCTGCTGAATCTGACAGGGAACTGAATGAAAATGACAGTACAGATTGTGATGATGATGTGCAAAGAGAAAGAAATGGAGGGATTCAGCACACAGGTGCAGCAGCTGAAGAATTTAATGACACTAATTAAAATACATTTACTAATCACTGAGGGTATTTGTTTAAAATTGAGTTCATCCAAAATGGAGTAATATGCTTCACATCGGTGTGTAACCAAGCACAAAAAACAGTATCAATGTTGAATCTGTGAATGGTTTTCCGTTTACTGTGATGTGCTACTGTAAATATACCTCTTTAATTACTTCTGGTCTCTTTGGTGACCTATTTAAATTTGTGTACATTATTGTACATAGAATAAAATGTTTTCATGTTTTTATGACAAAATCTGAACAAACAGCTTATTAATAGATATTGGTCATATGGTGCGCCAACTGTGCCAAAGAGTCTCCATGAAATTAGATGTCTCTAACTCTGTACCCTAGTGCTTCTTTAAAATGGGTTTTCAAAGTAGAAAAATACAAATGCAGACTAGAAAAGAAAAACACATTAAAGTCAAGGAAATAGGGCTGGGGAGATGGCTCTGTAGAATAAGCGCTTCCCTGGCAAGCGCAAGGGCCTGAGTTCAATCCCTCGTTCAGCCAAAAAAATAAACTATAGCATTGATTGGTATTAACAAAACCTAAGGCCAACCACATAGCTCAGTGGATTAAAGCATCTGCTTAGGCAGACACGGGCCAGGGGTTTGATCCCCAGCCTACCCCACCCCTGGGATGTGCTAAGAGGTGAATGAGACTGGGCTTGGTGGTGCACATCTGTAATCCCAGCACTTGGGAGGCTGAAAAACAGGATGGATCACTACAAGTCTGACCTGTGTAGTGAGATCTTGTAGATCCTGCACTAAATACATAAAAAATAAATTAAAAATCCTGGTTTTATGTATACAAATAAAGGGTGGATGATGTGTAGTGATTCCTTTTCAGACAGCTTTCAGATAATTTTCTTTATTGAAATTTACAGTACATTTTTGCCATGCAGTTTTTGATACATGATGGAATATGCCAATTAAATATTAGGAAAAAAACATCTTAATGGTGTTGTTATATAGTGTATTGGCTAGTTCCAGTGGATCTTCGTCTCTTACTGCTGCCATTATCTCCAGTATTTGACTAAAAACAAAACAAAAATGGTTAAATTTCCCAGTATGTATTGTTTTAAAGGCATATAGTATCTTTTCCATGTAATAGTATCTTCTACCACTAAGCACTTTTAATACAGTAAGTTTAATAGTTAAAACTTTTCAGCAAGTATCAATAGAAAAACACTGTCAGCAATTACAGGTAAGTTCTGGAGCTGACTTACACACAAAGCCAAGAATCAGGTTCAAGTATATTATGCTAAGCCAGCCTTATCTTATGTGCACCGCATCATGTAATTAAGACAGTGGAAATGAAGAGTCCCCAGACTGTAGGTCATAACGCACCCTTAGTGGCTCCTGATGAGCATTTCAAAGATTAAAGGTATCGATTTTGCACTTAAGGGTAAGAACCTTTGTACTTTTTTTTTTTTTACATTTTTATGTATGTAGTGATCCTATTGTGAGGCTAGCATCCAATTTGAAGGCCAGTGCTTAGGGAATTAGTTATCTAGAGAAAACAGAAATGGTTTATTGATAACTACAGTAACAGCAAGTGGAGAACAAGTTAGGGGGTGTTCCTGTAGTTTCTTCCCTGGAAAAAAGAACAGCCCTGGGATCTTTCAGTTTGCCTAAATTGATGCCTGTCACTAGTGTCTCCTAACTGTTTTCTAGAAAGTTCTAGTCCACATTTAACACTTTAGTACTCTTTAGGCAGTTTTTTGTTCCTTTTGTAGGTATCTTAAAATGTGAACACCCATGGCCAGGCACAGTGACACACACTGTGAGGCAGAAAGATCAATGCAAGTGCTTGGGTGTTTGAGGCCAGCCTGAAAACAAAAATAATAAAGAATGTAAATATCCAAAGATGGGACATTTAAGAATTTTTTATCGTCTTATAACAAGTGACACAAAAGACTGCTAAGTAAATATACCAAAGTGACCACAGTAAACTTCAGAATTGTCCTCTACTCAAAACTGCAACTCTTTAGTGTTGCTGACAAAATGTTTTGAGAGCTGCTTGCAGATTCTAGCAGGGGAGTGCAGCTGCCTGGATACTGAGCAAGGAAATGATCTCTGAGGATTGGGGTGGTCATCCTCTCCCGAGCGTGCTGCCTCACGAGGGATGCGCGTGATACAGTGAAAGAGAAAGGGGACACCCACCTTGCCGGCCAGATGAGCTCTATCAACCCTGGCAATCAATAGGGCGACAGACATCACAGCCAATTGCACATCCTGGAATGTTTTGAGGTTCATAATTGAACTTTGTCCAGTTACATTATATGGCTAAATCACTACATTTAATTTTTTTTACTTTTGTTTTTTGAGACAGTGTCTGTAGCTTAGGTTGGCCTTGAACTCCTGCCTCAGCCTCTCACGAGCTGGAATTAAAGGTGTGTACCCCCATTCCTGACTTGCAAATGTCTTACTAAGTCCTTCAGTGCTTATAAAACTGTCTCTGTGTGCTTAGTAATAAGAGTTTATGGCAATCTTTGAACATCTCTTTTTCAGCCAATCTATTCCTAGGTAGCTTAAGAGGGTAGCTTAAGAGGCCTCAAGCTATAGTTATCCTTTTTTAAAAAGGGAAGTTTATTGTCCAAGAACTTAGTGGCATTTGTTTAATGTGGCATTCTTAAACTAGGCAGTTTTTAAGTCTTGAATGAGCTATAGGGTTTCTGTCACCCACCTCCTTTCCAGTCTCTTCTGTTAACCTTTTAAGAGTAGGGTTTTGTTTTTGCCATTCTCCAACTTAAAATCCTTCAGGTCCTATTAAAATCTAAACTACTAAGGTAGGCATACAGGAGACCTGGCAATGTGGCCTTACTCTGCCTTTCCAGCCTTCTTCTCCACTTACCCTGTACATCCTACTTTGCCACACGGAGCTCGTTGTTTGGCTGAGTCATCGAGCCTTCTGCAATAGGCCTTTGGCCTGATTCCCAGTCTTCTTTAGTAAACAGCTGAAATGTCACCTTAGTAAAGTGCTTTTCTAATCTACGCAGACAGTTTCCATGTCTGTTTCTGGACACGTTCTATAACACATTCTATTTATCATCTCAGACCAGTATGTTTTCTGCTTGTTTGCTTCAGGAGTGCAGGGGGCTCGTGTCTGCCTCTAAGTGCCTCACCTAAAGTGCCCGGCCCAGGAAACCTGCTCCTGTGGTGTGCGGATGAGCACTGTCTTTGACTCTTGCCTCCTTAGAAATCTGCACTTTTCCTCATGTGCGGCAGGAGCTCCAAACTGTCAACAAATTCTTCATCTCAAAGTAAGACCTCTATATAATAATGACTATAAAACAACAGAATGGAGGTCGATAAATACTTTTGTAAGCGGGAATTAACTTGGCTGTTAGTAATTGGCATAACTGAAAAAGTATAATTTTACTTAAGATTAAGACAATACAAAAAACTGACTTGGATATATACTATTGGCAACTACTCCCTCTAGGCTGGCAGTTAGCAAAATACCGGCCTGTCATTTCTAGTGTCCTTTTAGATCTTCAAAAAATAGTTAGAAATACTGTCCTCTGACTCAATTTGCAGGTATCTATATAATAAGTGATTTCTTTTTTTACTAACCAGAATCCAAATTCATTCCAAAATCTACAGACCTTAAGCGTTCAATTTTACAAAGTCAGGCAGTCAATAAAGGAGGGGAAAAACCTCTCAATTTGTGTAGGATAAATCTCCATTTTTCTGCCTGGATTTTACACTTGGCTTATCTAATACTCATTTGTTAAAAATTACTGAAAAAAAAGTATATTTTGAAAAATTGGCAGTCTAAAGGTAATAACCCAATATTAATTTTTATGAATGTGTTATAAAATTCTGCCCTTTTTGAGAGTGAGGGTGGAGAAAAGGAAGCCCTATCAGTTGTTACCAGGCTTAAGGAAATGTGTTATTTCCTACATTCGGGTTGTGAGATAATTTAAACTGTAGCTACATTACAGAAGGTCTGCTAAGGCTTTACAAGCAGAAGAGAAGGTACATGAGAATACACTTAGGTAAAGCGATTTTACATGGATCGCTTCCCTTTGTGGAATGACAGGTAACCAACCCAAAATCAGATTTCTCGTGGCTGCAATACACTCTGGGTTGAAAGGATGTGAAGCTAGTAGTCCCACAGAGAAATTCCGGTACAAATTCTTCCCAACATGATTGAAATGGTCTTTGACCTGAACTTGAACTTTGGCTCGTGGTAATGTATGAGCTGGTGTAGTTTCTGTGTACCCTTGTTAGAATGACCTATACGATTTGGATCTCACAGCACTTCAGTGCTGCCCTTCAGCTCATTTTTCAGTAAGTGGCATTTGGTGGTTGCCTTCAGTGATTCACAGGATCATAAAAACACTCACATTATATGGCAGGGTTCATTTCTGTCTTTTAAACAGTGTCCGTTTTCCCACTTCTTCTTGGTAGGAAATGAGGTTTTTACATATTTTGCTCCAGCATGTGTACTTTTAACTCCACACCAAGGTGCATCTGGAGTTAAGTCAAAAAAAAGTGTTAAAAGGTCTATGTTCTTAAATGGTTATGAACATTAGCAAACTTTTATAATCTATAAATTATGACCCATGATTTAGCTTCCTACATTTTCTAATACAATAGAACACTTCTAAGATAAAATCTTTAGTTGCACCTTAAATGCTTTATAAGAGACTCAACTTTTTCAGCTAACATTGTTGGTATATGGCATGCTTTTTAAAAAATACTTAAACCTAAAAATTGTAATTGGAACATTATAACATTTAACATAAATTTCTGTATTAGCTCTACTGAACATGAAACAGTGACCTGAAGATGTATCTCTTTAGTCACCAGCTTACCCATTTTATAAACATTGTACTTCTCTCAATTTCATGTTTGCCCAAGGAAATAAAGTTGGTGTCTCCAGAGTATCTCAGTGTGGGCTTTGATGTAGAAGCCCTTAGCTACAGGATTCAGTTTTAGCTTTTAACTTTTTGTAAAAAAGGGAACAGATTTTAACATTCTTGTTCAAAACAGTTTGATTTTTGCAGTTTTAAAAAGTGTTACAGGATTAAACCATTCGAAAGACATCATGTAAAAAAAGATTATGAGATCTTGAGACCCTGAAGTGTAACATGTCAAAACTCCTTAATTAGGTATAAGACCATGGTTATTACAGATTGACTTTTTTTTTTTAAGGTTTCTAGGCTTAGACAAACTTCTAAAATTGAAAATAAAAATCTCTTGCACAAATATTTCAACAATAATCCAAAAAGTTTTTTTTGAAAAGTATAATTGTTGAAGTTGAACATCCTGTTTTAAAATATTTAAAGGTAAACCTGATGTCAATTTCCTCTAGGGGAAGGTGATATTGGTTTAATAGAAAACTATAAGTTCTGAACACTTAAACTTACCAGTCTCAATCATTAATTTTTCACTAGGTATTGACTTCAAAACTTCCAAATTTGCCTCAGTTTTCAGTGAGCTTTAAAAAAAAGTGTATTTTTAAAAACAGCATTTAGTAAATAACTTTTTAATAACATATTTAAAACAAATTACAAAATGCCATAAATTTTGTCAGTATACTTTAAAAAGCATTTATATATTCTTAACTTTCAGATTTCAGCCACATCTGCTTTTAGAAGATGTGATTTTCTTCATGTGTATCAGTTGATGTTTCAATTGCTTTCTGTATGTCTAAAATTTTAACTTTTAAAAAAACTTATTTGCATAATTTAAACACTGTTAACTTTCATTTCCTTAACTTTCACTTTGTGCCTCTGAGACAGGATTCCTGCATCCAGTTCTTTGCTATTCTCTAATAAAATTAAGATCTGTACCCTGCCACTGTTTCTTAAGATGGAAGAACTCTGCTCCTTGAATCTTGCCTTGGCCTCCACACTTGCTTTGGGTTACTGGGATGTGATGATATGGCCACACGTGATGTATGTTCTCTGGTTTGAATGCCACACTGGGTAGTTGCTGTCTCTCCAGGTTGGGTCCCCAGAATGAAAACACAGGCTACAGTAGGTGCTCAGCCTCTTGTCATCCAAACCCAGCAGCCCCACCCCCTAATTATGAACATAACTGCTTATGTGAGTGAGGTTTGGAATGTTGCTGTTCTCTATGGATGTCTACTAATACTGTCATATATCTATATCTATATATATATAATATATATATTATATATATATATTTTTTTTAAAAAAATAAAAATCTTATAGTTAAAGATATTTTTTTGGAAGTTTCCAAAAGTTTCACAGCCAAGTAAGTGGATGGTAGAGATTTTCCCTATACCACATAAGCACAATCACTCTCAAAATCTTATACAACAGTGACACATTTGTTAGAACTAATGAGCCTATATTATCATGACCCTAAGCCCATAATTAGAGTTCATTGGTGAAGTAATTCTTTGGGTTTGAACAAATGGCCATTACAGCGCCACACAGTAGTTTCAGTATCTAAAAATTACTCTGTGCCCTGTCTGTTCATTTCTTCTTCCCTCCCTACCTCTAGCAACTACTAATCTTACTGTTTCTTTAATACTACCCTACCAAATATCAAAGAGAAAACAGATTTTTTGACCAAACTAGTAGGCTTTTGTTAGCCTGAACCATAACATGTGAAGCAGAAAGCTGACAGAGAAATGACAAACGTCATGTGTTAGGTGACCTAAATGCTGTGTGCCTATAAAGAGACCCAACACAAGCCAACCAACACACCCCTGAAATTTCTAACTACCAGGTACCTGGAAGAAATTGGAGGGAGTGAAGCAGACGGCAGGAAGGCAGACAGAATGAACCTAAATCAGAGGGACATGGAGAACAACCAGCACATCTCAGAGGATGGGTGAAGTGTGGGGCTGCAACAGGCGCTGAACAGGGAGTCCTTGCCGATCCTCCTGCTCCACTACACTGTCAGTAGTTACAAATCCCCACTTCACTTTGGAGCTGGGACCAAAGGATCCCTTTCGGAAGAAACTGGATCCAGAAAAGGTCTGTGCAAAATGGGATTTGGGAATTCCCAGTGGAAAATTCAGTTCATCATCTGAGCCTGCCAGGTGATAGTCTTTCTCACCAGATTCCAAAGAGTTGTTACTTTTCAAACAGTGAAGAACTGTGTGACTTCTGAAGAAAACCGCCATCATGACAGAAACCAAAAGTGGAAAGAAAGGGCAGTGACGCAGTCATACTGTAATTCCAATCTTTGGAGATAAGGATATAACCACATCCATCAAGTAAGATAACTAAAAATCGGCGCTTCCAGAGATTCAAAACAAATGCCAAATTATACTCAATTTTTAAAAAGGCTTGATATAAGGCATACTTTCAGTAAACAAATTTCAGCGCTTCAATTTTATAAAAATCTATTAAAATTTTTTTGGAAAAAAGTGAGAAAAGAGATGTAAAGAGATGATTATTGTAGAATAAAATACCTAAATTGTCAATCTGAGATGTTAAAAAAAAAATCAAAAATAGTCTTCAGGACTGACAAAGAAGAGCCTCTAGCTGGAGGGGGCCAGCAAGCCAGCAATGAGGATAAATCATGAAAACACTTCTGTAAGTTTCCCAATACCAAACCTTCTAAAGGAAAAGAAAGCAGGTCACGGTGTAAGCACTGGGGATCGGAACTGCAGTCAACACTGGAACGGACTTGAAGGGACTGTGTCAGTTCTCAGTCAAAGTGACTTCCAAAAGTGGGTGCCCTCTCCCTTTCATGAGCTATCCAAGCAAACTTTTAAGAGGAAGAACAGAATAATTTTCAAACGTAAAACAAGTTTGAAATTCAAAAGTTTTACTTCCTATGAAAAATTTCTCCCATCCGAACACATACAGATAACATGGGGTCTAAAAATAGTTCAGAGAAGAGACTGGTCCAGACAGAAACTGAAAGGTTTCCTCATGGAGAGAACAGATAAAGACATTTTACAGAGCAGTGCAAACTGTGAGGTTCAACTTTGAAAAAAGCCAAATAAAAATATATGAAGAGTTACTGTCCATGGCTTGTAAGGCCACTACTCAGGAGGCTGAAGCAGGAAGACTCCAAATTCCAGGCCAACCTGGGGCTACTGAAAGCCCTTCCCCCTGCTCCTCATGGTCTGGGAAGTTTCTATCTGTAATTCCATGGGAAAGCTATTGAAATTCTAGCAAGTTTAATTCCAGTCTACCATTTCAAGTGCAACCCATGGTGAGAAGAAAGAGACTAAGGCATATTTATAGTCGTGGGGCACCAAGGGGTCCTAGGTCCAGCTTCCATGATGGTTATCCAGAACAAAGACCTCGATCCAGGGGTGAAAACAGATTTTATTTGTCAAGAGGGGAACAGCTCAGGGGTGAGTGACTGTGAAAGTGGCAGGGAAGTATGTGAGTGCTGTGAGCTGGGCTAGGTAGGCCTGAAATCACCTCCGCAATATGCAGAGAGAGGCAGAAAGAGTAATCTGCATAATGCAGGCAGTATAATGTTTGGGGGTTGGTGCTTCAGCTCTGATGTGTCTTTTTTTATGCCCTGAGATGTCAAGGCCACTTATCTCCAGGCTTGATCTCAGCCAACGCTTGCTCGGAGCACGTTCTCCTGCCTGCCTATCCAGCTCACACATTTCTTGGGAGCTACAGGGTGGGGCAACACTAAGCTGTCACCTTGCTTTAAACACTACACATCAGCACCTCACTAGACTGATTCGCATTGCTTAAAGCAATTTGGGGGGGGGGGGAAGGTACAGCTCTGTACAGATTAGGACATGGAAAGAGGGCCGGGGTTAGCCAAAATGGAGACAACTGCTATTCTTTCAAGGGTAGTCATCAAGTGGTCCTCCACACTGGGAATTTTCTCTCAGAAAAAAAAAAAGGTGAGGGGGGACTGGGGAGAATACAGTCAGGAGAGAGTCCCTGGGTATAATCCGCAGTCTTTCTCTTTTACTTACACACACACGCGCACACACAGATCGAGGGAGGAAGGGGAGTGATTTAGCACTTTCCTGTCACTGGGACATAACTGACACCCATGCTTTCAAGGAGAGGGCAGTTTTCAGAGGACTTGCCCATGGCTGCCCGGCTCTAAGGTGGCAACATCACGGCAGAAGGGCATGGCAGAGCGGCGCTGCTCAGTCAGGTGGGAAGGAAGCAGAGCAGGTCACAACACCAGTGGGGAAGGGGCCGGCAGACACCGTCAAGGCAGGCTTCTGGCCTCCCCTCCCCCTCCCCCAGCAACAGGCTTCACCAATCCCTGCAACCCCTGGACAGATCCCTGGCACCCTGGGCACGTGATGCTGGCCACCAAAATCGCACACGGTGACGCATGCATGTCCTGGGAGACTAAAATAGGATCATTACAAGTCCAAGCTGCGTAGGGAGACCCTGTACTGAATGAATGAATGAATGAATGAATGAATGAAAAAAAATTTTTGAAAGCCTATCAACTTGACACTCTACCCTACTCACCAGAGAATTATTCTAAAACAGGACAAGAAAAGAAACACAATCATGGCATGTCACATGGGTCAGCAGCCAAAATTATACACACAGAACGTAATAACTAAATATGCATAAAGCCAAAACATTTTCAACAACTATACTGGCAGGAACATGGAGGTAGGAGCTGCGATGGTTTATAAGAACTACAATGTCAGCTTAACAAGAACAGACCGGGATCAGCACAGCAGTGATGACGCTACACAGAAACACGGTGGCAGCAAAGCAGTTGCCTCTGGAAAAGCTGCTGTAGGGCTGGGACATGCTGCGGCAGTGTAAGTCTAATCTCTATACATGTACTCCTTTGATTTTTCTTTATTTTTTGGTATTTTAGGGAAGAGTACGGGGTGTTCAGGGTCTCACTACCAGATCAGACTTGTAGTGATCCACCTGTTTACAGCCTGCCAAGAGCTGGGATTACAGGTGCGCAGCACCACGCCCAGTCTCAGTTGTTGCCTCAGCACGAGGGTGGGGGGAAGCATGGCAGACCCAGGAATCGAACCCCTGGCCCCTGTGCCTGCTTGCAGGCACTTTAATCCACTGAGCTATTTGGCCAATCCTTGAATATTAACTTAAAAACTAATTTTACCATTAATTTAAATATGCCAGAAGTCTCTACAACATTTAAACTTCTCTAGAAAATAATTTCATGATTCTAACAGTTTAGTCAAAAATAAGTAATCAGAAAAGTGATCGTTTTAAGGAAAAGAAACACTGATGCATCCAAGGCAGACTTCCAGACGGTGGCTGGACCTTGGGGCCCTTGCTCTTGGCGGGCTCCGCCGCTGGAGAGTGTGGCAGCTGAGCTTGCTGCTGGAGTGGGGCCTGGTCGCAGGAGGCGCGCATGACCCCTGGAAGAGGTGTGTCCTCCCCTCACTCGCTTCTCACATTCTCCGGGCCTGACCGCCAGGACGTGCGCAGCACTCCTCTGGGCAGCCCCCTCTGCGGCGCTTCTGCCCTGCAGCCAGCCAGCCACCTGTGAACTGCAACCTCTGAAAATTCGTAAGCCCAAATA